CATATCTGCATCTGGAATAGCTTGGACTTGGCCAACCTTACCAGGTGTGAGCTGAAAATTCTGACGATCCACATTATTTTATTGTGTCTCTTTAGCCTCTCACTGTCCGGTAAGTGACTCTTGAATTAGTTCTATATTTTCATTTTGAGCCGGCATCATATCTGCTTCCTCATAATCAGCTTGCTGTTCCGCGTCCTGATTCGCTGTTTCTGTTTCAGGGAGGTTTTCTTCCGGTTGAATGCTAGTAGTTGGCTGGATGGCTCCACCAAACTGATTTCCTTGTGTTAGTATCAATGTCTCTGCTTCACCGCTGGCACTTGTTGCTTCTTGTACGTGGCTGATGCAAGAAAGCAGTGATTGGTCTTAACTTCTTTACCATGTCATTCTCAAGTTTCTTTCTCTGGCGCTTGCTAGCACCACTTTCAAATTTTTTACTCATGCTCAGATTAGAATCTGAAAATAAAAAGTAAAATTAATATTCAACAGTTATAAAAGAGGCATAAAAACAATCACCGTCAACAAAAGGCCACCGGACCCTATCTAGGTTGTTTGTATGCATATGAATTGAAATGAAAGAATACAAAAAATCAAGAAAATGAACAGTATTGAGGAAAGAAAAGAAAATAATAACAATAATAACTTTAAAAATTAACAAGTTTGAGAAGAGCCACACGCATACACCGTTTGGCATTGCGAGAAAAAAAAGATACACTCATATATTCACACTGAACAGGCCATCCATCTATCTACTCCCATCCCTTCACCAGGCAACTGCCAAGTCATTTCATGTAGAATATTTACAGTTTGCGGCTAAGTGGCCGCGTCTACCTTAATATTATTTCATTCAACTATATAACCAATATATACGCATATACACATACATACATACATGCATGCATATACACACATACATCATACATATGCATACATATACACATACACCTATGCATACACATACATACACACATATACATATATATATACATACATATACACATACACCTATGCATACACACACATATACATATGTATATACATACTGTTACGTCTCCGTTTGTTAATTAACTTTCCGTAACTTCGTTCCGACGAAACTTTAGCGACACAAATCCTTACTTAGTAAAACTGGTTTATTCTTTCTGAATATAACTTTACGATACACTTGATTTCAACATTCGCGCTAAAACAAACGCTATAACGAACTTCAACAATACTCTCTGACTGCAGATCAATTACTCACTACCTACACACATACTTGTTCCGTCACGTTGTCACCCTCTTATATATATATACCAGACTACCCTATATCTAGTAATCTCCCGAAGGTTCGAGAGAAGTGGCGTGACACTAGTCACGTGACCTCGCTGACGCAACACTGCCCCTCTTTAGTATTGTTCGTCCCGAACAATAGCCACTTACAATAAACCAATAACAATTAACAATAACGTAATTAAATGTACAGAAACTACAATTCAACAAAGTCTCTTAATTTTACGGGGCGTATCTTCTTCCG